GCGACCGTTAATCGTGAGGCCAATCGCGCGGCCAATACCGATGGTTTGGTCGCCAAACTGATGAACAATAATTTTAAGCATGAATTTCACAAATTCCTTAAGAGTGCGACATTTAAATCGGACAATACTTTAGTGAAATTGGTCCGCGAGTCCGGACAGAAGGCGTTGGCAATCATTATAAACACAATTGAAGCCGATTTGACGAAAACCAGTTGTTCCGAGTTTGAGACCCGACTTATAGTGTCTAATATGACAGTGAATGACACAAATTCTATGGTCTCGACCATCAGTCGAGTCAATCTAATCGCTAAGTTTGAAAGAGAAAAATCTATTCAACAGAGACTGCAATTGTTTGTGGTTTCAGAACTCTCTTCGTGTCATATCATATATAATGACGAAGAGATTAATTATTGGATTGAATTAGTTAATAACATATACGACGGCAACAACGAGTCGAGCGTTAATCTCAACAAACAAAACATTCCCATAAGTAACACATTTATGAAGGATTTGCCCAAATTTAGCGCTTCGTTAGATATCAATGACATAACATTTTCGGTAAAACCGATCACTAATGTTCAGCCGATGGTTACCTACGGCTTAAGTCACGCAAAGATTGGATATGTTCTCAATTCTGATCCACTATTTAGGGAAATGAGGTTTTGTTAAAACATTGATATATTTAGCGTTAATTTTGCATTAATTGAATGTATTGTCGATTAGTTTTGAGCTCTTATTGGAGACATTTTGGTGCTGGAATGGGAACCGAGAGTTGCGGCCATCGAATCCGAATTCACTTAAGAAGTATCACCAAAAACATGTGCCTCTCTTCACATCAATGCTCTTCTTAAAGGTAACCAAACTCTTGTTTGATTTGTTGAATAAATTAAGAGTTTTTGTATTTATGGATTGAATTGTTGGCCAACAGTGCCGTCATATGAATCTTTCTGAATTCCGGATCCACTGTGTTATGGATGGCATTCAAATCAGTTTAGATTACTTCGTACGGCTCTTCAATCAATACGATCTGAAAGCGTACTCCGGATCGAAGACATCCGGACTCAACAGCAATCTCTTCTCCAAATCTATTCAAATAAATATATCGTCCGTTAATTTATTCACTTCTGATCTCATGTTACGCGTCGATTCGGCGACAGTGGACTCCAACTCATCCAAACTTACCTCAAGTATCAATGGTCTGGCGTTGAGTCCTATGTACGCGCCGTCGGCCACACTATCGTGTTTAAGAGCGGCCGAACTGATCCAGAATAGGATCGTATACTTTTCAGTGGTTCGGCTGAATTTGAATCACGACTCACACGAGAATACCATTAGTTTGACAGAAGAGGTGTTCATTCAATGGAATCCATCGTTTCATTTAACTGTAATTGATTTGTACGAAGAATTCTTGTCTAAATTGATGAGCAAAACGACCAATAATGCGGTCGAATCGTTGTCCTCCGTATCGGTTAACGTGAAACTGGAGGGAAAGATCAGTATCGGTGCTCTTCTCTCCAATGCAGACAACATTATGGCCTTTGAAACCGAATTATTAACGCTTACTATTCAAGCGAATAAAATGTGTACTAAATGTGATTTCCTTTCATTATATTTCGATCACAACTTAATAATGACTTTAGAGGTAAGAATCGATTGCATTGTTTGTTAAAATTGTAACACATTTTATATCTCAATCCACAGCACATAACTGTCAATCAATTCTCTGAATCGGATTCGCAATCAATAATAAACCGAAAGAAATACTTGAAACCAAGTCTAGAGACCAAACGAAATAAAGCAATATTAGTGACCATAGAA